GGGCCGCAGGTGGGGTGGTGTCGCGTGTTTTCTTGGTCGATCCTGGGCACCTTCGGGTGCTACTGGGCACGCTCTCTCGCGTGCCCGGGTCTTCCCCGCACGACCTGCCTCGGGGATCTACTGACCCGGGTCACTCCAGACCCGGGTCAGTCAGGCTTTGCAAGATCCTGCAAGATCCCGCAAGATCCTGCAGGATGTGATCCTGCACCCAAACCCGGGTAAAGGCGATGCGACCATGGCCCTGCAGGATCCTGCAAGCGACGGCGCTCCGACTGACCCCCGTTTGCATGGACCCCCGTCTCTCGAGCCACGACCGTCGACCATCTCAGCGGCCCCGGGGGCTGGCCCGAGGGGGCAAAATCACGGCGGAGGAGGAGGAGGAGGAGGACGACGACGACGACGACGAATAGGGGAAGGAGAAGGAGGAGGAGGAGGAGGAGGAGGAGCGAGCGAGCGAGCGAGCGAGCGAGCGAGCGAGCGAGCGAGCAGAAGCCGAGAGGCGGTTGGAAGACTGGCCGAAGGTCAGCAAAGACCAACCCCGCGTCCTCGGCCTGCTGCAAGGACGGAGCCCAAAGGACCAGGAACCGCCTTGCAGCCGCCGAGGCCGCGGGGCCAGCCCTTGCGGGCCCAGAGAGAAGCGGGCCGCGCACCCGCCAGGAAGCACGGAGCCTGCGCCAGGCCCGAGCTCACCTGCTCCAGGCAGCAGCCCTCGAGGCCCAGCGGGCGCACAAAGTGCCCGAGGTTCAGCACGGTGCCGAACACCCGACAGAAAGGCTTCCACAGCTGGAGGCCGCCCCGCCCGTCGAAGACAACGACGACGGGGAAACTGAAATTGAAAACGCCAAGGCACTCCAGGATCAAACACCACCACGGACTGCCCTCAGTACCAAGAAATGAAAAGACAGCGGCCAGACCGACCCAACTCCCACCCAAGGTGCAAGCCCCCAGGGCCATGACATCAAAGGCTGGCCGCCGAGGGTGGGAGCAGAATGCCCCTGCCAAGGGCGCATGGCTCAAAGGCCAAAAACATTGAGGCCTGGCCGCCGATGGCAGGGAAGCGTCGGCCCGACCACTAGCCCGTGTCGAGGTCAGCGTCGTCACCGCTGTCCGACTCACGCACAGCTCCAAACTCCAAAGCTTCAGGGTAGAATAATCCATAGACCTTGAGAATCGTACTTGTGTCCAAATATCGCTGTGGTTCAGCCCATACTCGGCCTTTTGGTTGAAAGACAACCTCAGGCGCATCCATGAGTGGGCCCCATCCAACCTTTGGCCTTGCACACCAAGGCTCTGACTCTGGCCGAGGGCCGACGAGCATCCAACAGAGCAATATCTGTGTGCATCGACTGGGGATGTCGGAGATTGCTGAAATGCCTGGTGCTCTCAGCAATCCTTCCGCTGCCTCCTTCTCTGCCGCAGCACACTTGGTCCAGCCCTCTATGGTTGAGACTACCTGTGTCCGAGTACTTGCAACAACTGGCACAGAAAATAAGCGAACGATCGCGACCGACCACGGGGTACTCCAGCAGGGCATGCTTCTGGACCAGCCAAGGCCAAGGCAAAAGAGGCCCCCTCGCCGCCGCCTGCTGCTGCGGCGTGGTCACGTCATCGTCCTCAGGGCCGGGGAAGAGGTAATCCTTGAACTCGTCGCCCTGTTCGTGGAACCAGACCTCAAACTGGGCGATGCACAGAAGCAGCACCTTGTGAAGGCGCGTCGCGCCTCGGACAAGCTTCTCCTGAACCTCCGAAGCTGCATGGGAAGATGCCCCTATCTTGGCCAAGTCGTCGACCTCGGCGTTCCCAGCACGATCGGCAAGACTGATGACGCCGTCCCCGACGTCCTCCATGCTGGTGCGTGCCTTCACGTGAGACACAGGTGCCATGCAGAAATCGTCGTTCATCGTCGTCCTCCTCCACAGATGCGCTCTTAGATTGCCTGGCCCACACGCTGCCGCCAACCTGTGACAGCCCCCGACCGAGCCCTTGCAATCCGACTTCACCTTGTACGAGCCCATGACCAGCCCACTTGCCTTCATAATAGCATAGTCCCCCCCGTCACGAGCCACTTGACTGGGCCCTTCGCGGCGAGGAACAGCACCGTAGTATCGAGCAACACGGCGCTTGACTGCGTCGTAGACCGCGACGGTCCATCCAGCGGACCGCAGCTCAGGCACACGTACTGACCGCGCACTGCCATCGACGAAAACATAGCCACCGTTCACTGACGTTACACCCCGTCGGTCCTCATCAAGCATGTCATATTGGCTGGCTCGACCTGCACCGTGAAACGCCTGCCCTGGGCGTGGAAGCAGTCCTCTGGCGAATCGCCCCTGCCTGTCCTCAGCCTCGCACCTCAATCTCTGCGCCGACCTCTGGACTTCAGGCGGTGGGAACAGCTGTCGTTGGGCCGAGAAAGCGTCACACTCAAAGAAACGATGAAGCAGGGTGCCAGGCGCTGCCTGGCATCTGGCACAGAGCGAGGAGTGTCCTGCGAAGGCTCGCGCAACCCGAACTTGCGCCCAATGACCCCCAGTGATCACACCCCGCAGCGAGTGCCTCTGATGGGGCGCGAGGCGCTTGCCGTGCAGCGCCTCCGGCATCGACTGCCAGGCGATGGGCCCTGTCCTGGCGGTGCCAGCTCCATGCAACGTGGTCAGCGCATCACGGTCGATCTGACGTCTAACCCCCAGCTTGACTATATGCGCAATCCAACTGGCCGAGTAGAATTTGCGGCCCCATGAGCGGCCTTCGTCGTCAAGTAACGTAAACGGGCCCAGCAACTTTCAACAGATCCTGCGCAGGCTGACCACGAGCGCTGCAATAGGGTTCTTGCACTTCAGCCAAGCCTGGGGATCGTCCAAGATCTAGAGCGCCGCGGTCATCAAGGCCGAAACCACAGATGTAGTAATCGTCCCAGTGGACACGATAACAAGGTAAGTGTGGATGGCATCAGACGCGGCGATGACCAAGGGATCGTCGTGCCAACTCTCAGCACACATAAGGGAAAGGCCCACTGAGGCGCCAGGCTTGAACCGAGCACCCGCGTTGAGAAACGACATCCTGAGCTGCTGGATTCTGCTGTTAGGTACCCCGGCGATAGAGCAACCCCATAGAGCCTTCGCGAGGACCCAAGATCGGTGGACCGCCGAGCGCTGCCTTCACAACCCTTTGAGCGCCAGAAGCCTGTCCCCTTAGTCATGGCGCCCCTTATGCGAGAGAGCTGCGCGCCTATACGCCTATAATGCCCACGCACGGCATCTCCCCCAAGGTCTCTGTGAAATTGACCCCGACCAGGGAAGGGAACTCCAGTAGGCCATAAATCAGCAACCTCGTCCTCGATCAGGCTGAAGGCCTCAGCGCCATTGCACAGAAATCCCATCTTGTCCCAAGACAGCGGCAGACCCCGAGCCTGAAGTAGGCCCGCCGTCTCCTCGAACGCGAAACTGAGCTCCCGAGCGACCGTCTGCGGGCCCCCGACCGAGTGCAAACTTACATCGTCTATCAAGTTTATGATTCTGAGCGAGCTGCATCTAGCCCCTACATGTCGGAGGACCGTCACCGCCATGACCTTGGCAAGTCCTGTGGCACACGAACATCCTGCCACAATCGTCCCATTGGCGAAGATCTCGTGGGACGTCGAGTTCTGGTAGGAGGCCCGCCTGGGCCCTCTATACAGTGCGCAAAGTGGCCTCAGAAGATTTCCAGGAAAGCCAATGTCCCTAGACGCACACAACAACTCTGCATGAGACACCATTTCATAAAACCCCATGAGATCTACGAACGCACTAGCACTAACGAAATTAAACTCAAGAGCGGCACTGGCTAGAACATTGTGAATCCAAGCCGATTTATCGCACGAGGTCTCCGATGAGCCTCCCCAGAAGAAAGTGTCTAGCAGCGTGGGTTCCCATTTTGCAACTACACGGTGCCTGAGTCGGGACCACAAACGTGCGAAAAAAGGGTAGCAGACCGATTGGCCTTACTCCTCCAGTAGCCTGGGGCAGGAAAACTGAGGGTCAGCCAGACGTCTGTGAGCTCAGGATTCCTTTCCCAGGAGAGGAGGAGGAGAGTCAGGGTCGAAACAAGGACGGGAGGCAATCGATCGACCCACCTCGGATGGAAACAATCCCAGCCCAGAGCCGTCTTAAATGAGCTGAGCACCGCCTTCACATCGTCGTCCGTGAACTGAGGCAGAGGCTCGGCATGGGAAACATCCCAATCCAGAGGGCGGGGCTCATCAGACCTGGCTGGCACGACCCAAAGGCTGGACCATTCTTTCAACATGTCCTGCAGGGCCTCGCGCCCAACAACAGGCAGTCCCTGGGCGAGGTCCGCGGCCGTGGCCCCCTTGGGGCCTCTAGGAAAACGGTGAGCCAAACTGGCCCCACTGGCGAACGCCAGCTCCGAATATTATTTCCAGCTCTGCCTGGCGACGGCTGCATCTCCGAGCGAAATCACAGTGAGACCGTCTTCCCCCACCCACTCCAGACCGTCCCAGACTCCCGAATATTCCGTCAACATGCGCACAGTACTGGCTTGCTGTGCTAGCTGGGGGGGATTCGGAGTCCTTGCCTTCCGAACTCAGCCATTGCATAGTGATGCATCTGACGGAGAGCCAACGCTGGGTGGTGGTGCTAGCCTTCCTGCGGAGGATCTTTCCCCATTCGCAGGCCACGGGCACTTTTTCGAGTCTGCATCCAGCCGCACGACCGCAAAATCTCGGTCTCTCGGCGACGGGGATAGCCAGAAAGAGGCTAAGGTAGAGTTCGGCCGAAGAATACCACCTGCGAGCAAGGCTGTCCAGCGATTCGTTTTGTTCCAGCTCAAAGCCTGGCAAAGTCGAAACGTCGCCAGAAACAAAAGGTTGCCCTGAGGAGGGCAGCAGAAACTTCTCCTGCTGCATTCTGCGATAAACAAAGTTGGCACCGCCGAGGCCTGACAGCCTCAGCACTACAGCCCTGTGGGGACCCACAGGAGCGTCGTCGATCACACCCACGCTCCTGATGAAGGGGAGCAGGATGTCGCTGACGATGTAGTAGTCGTAGTGCGAGTCGTTGCAGGTTGGCCTCCCACCGTGGACGATCTCAACGTGTAAAAGACCAATGAAGCCAGCTCGAAGAAGGGTATCACGGCCGAAACACTCGGACTCGACATTCCAGTCGCCTGCCACAACAAACGGGAGGCACGACTCCCGCAAAATCTGAACTAATGCCGCAAAAAGCTCGTGGTTGCCTGACTGGCCCACGCTGGTGATGCCGTAGACAGAAACCACCAAGATCTGCATGCTGCCTATCACCGTCCTCTGAAAAAAACATGCGCGACTTGGCGTACTCCCCAGTCGGCTGATAGGGGACGCTCGGTAAACTGTTTAGGCTCAACATGCCGACGCCGCTCGAGGTGGCCATCGCCGTGCTTCCAGTGATGTGGCAGCCATTGGCGAGGAAGCGATATCCACGAGCATGTGCCCAGCTCTGAGCACTCTTGAATTGATCTCCACCTCTGAGTCGATGGTCTTGCACATGTAGCACATCGGGTTGCATGCACTTGTCCAGCACCAGCCACTCCAGAAAAACCTGAGCAGTAGCCCAAGCATTCCCGTTGTAGGTCACGAAGGTGAAGTCGGACCGGTGCGTGTGTGTCGAAGGGGCCTCAAAATCTGCTGCCCACCGAAGTGCTCGAGCAGCATCCTGAGCCGAACTCGAGGTCGGGGTCGACCACGGTGCAGACGACTCATCTCCCAACACTCCACAGGAGGAAGGGGCAGCGGTGCTGATGGCCTGGAGGAGGAGGAGGAGGAGGAGGAGGAGGAGGAGGAGGAGGAGGAGGAGGAGGAGGAGGCCCCGACGCTGGTCTCGCACACTCGCCGTTCTTCCGTCCGAGAGACGTCCACGGCCAGACGAGGCCTGCAAGATCGCCCCAAGGGCGCCCAAGAGACCCCCGAGAGGGCCCCAGGAGAGGCCCAAGAGGGGGGAAGCACGGACTGCCATCTCGGGCCCTCCGCCTCAAGACGGTCCCCGAACCCGACTCCAGGCCCCGAAGAAGCCCAAGAGGCCCACAGAAGCCTCCCAACCCAAGTGGCCCGCGGTTAGCCCCCAGGCTCACAGTATGCCCAATTGGCGCACACGAGGCCTCCAGGAGGCCCGCAAGGGGCCTCCCAGGAGCCCCCAAGAGGATTCTGAGAGCCCTTTTGCCCACGACCCATGCACGGTGGCGGGATGGGCCAAAGTCACAAGATACGACTTGCCATGGTAAGCGTCGGAGTCGTGATGGCAATGAAAAACTAGCCCAGATATCATAGCAGCAGAAGCTGCAAAGTCTTGGAAGCAGCGATAGTAGCCGTGGATCAGCAGCGGTGTCAGTAGAAGCAGCGGCGGCGGCGGCAGCAGCGGCAGCGGCAGAAGCAGCCACACACAGGGCAGCAAAGCAGCAGCCGTAGTGGGCACCAGCACCAGCTCCAGCAGCGGCGGCAGCAGTAGCTGCATTACAGAAGTGCCAATCACATCGGCGGTAGCAGGATTCACCTCACCGAATACAGCCCGAGTGGGCAGGGCGTACTACATCGGACGTGGCTTTTCAAAGCGACCGACCCATCTGGCGTGAGAAATACAAATCCTACACTTCATCCCCTGTCCCGCCCGTCCAGGTCCGTGCAGCGCCTCTGCTACCCTGATTATCCTGCGGGGATCTCGGTCACGCAGCCCCCAATGCTGGCCAGACCTCCCGAAGAGCACGGAAAACAACTGCCCGGGAGGAGGGAGGAAGAAGGAGGAGCGATAGAGGAGGAAGGGAAAGGGGGGATACAGGATAAAGGATACAGTGAGTCCTCGAACAGATCCCGGACAGGGATCATTGCCCGGGGTGTGTAAGTCCTAAAATAGGCTGCAGACCGAAATTCTGCCGGCAAGGCAGAAAGAGCGGTGGCTCGATCGCACCTGTGACGCCTGGGCACAAGAAGCGAGGAGGAAGAGGAAGCAAGGAAGGAGGAGGGAAGGCGGACGGACCCACATATCCGGCTGCTTCGATGTTTTCGATGCGTGGGCCCTGGAGGCCTGGACCACTTCCGAGGGGCCGGTTTGTCGTCCTCAATCTTTTCTGACGGTCCCGAGGCCCGGCGAGGGCCCCCGGAAGCCTAAAACAGCCAAGAACCGCCCGCTCCAAATGCTGTTGGGAGCGTCGGATCTAGACGAGCGCGCTCCACTACTCCACTACGTTTCGAACATTTGCGAGTAGGCACTTTGCGAGTAGTGGAGCGCGGTCGGTGAGGATCTCTGGGGAGGAGACACAAGAGGGGCGAGGACTGAGGCCCAGCGAGGAGGAGCCACAGGCCCGCCGGGCCACCAGAGACGGCCCGGCGGCGGGAGGCGCCCCTGCCGGCGAGGGGACCCCTCCAGGGCGGGGCGGCTGGGGCGGCGACCACGCACGCCGACTGCCACAGGAAGTGCGTGATCATCCCGATGAGGAACCACTTGCGGCCCTGCGCGGCGACGCGGCGGGGCGCCCCCCCTCGGCGCTCCTCCTCCTCCTCCTCCTCCTCCTCCTCCTCCTCCTCATCCTCCTCCTCCCCTCCTCCTCCTCCTCCTCCTCCTCCTCCTCCTCCTCCTCCTCCTCCCTCCTCCTCCTCCTTCCTCCTCCTCCTCCTCCTCCTCCTCCTCCGCCTCGCCTCCGCCTCCGCTCCTCCGCTCCCTCCTCCCTCCTCCCCTCCTCCTCCTCCTCCTCCTCCTTCCTCCTCCCCTCCTCCTCCTCCTCCTACTCCTCCTCCTCCTCCTCCTCTCCTCTCCTCCTTCCTCCTCTCATCTCTCCTCCTACTCCTCCTACCTCTCCTCCTCCTCCTCCTCCTCTCCTCCTCATCCTCCTCCCTCCTCCTCCTCCTCTCCTCTCCTCCTCCTCCTCCTCCCTCCTCCTCCTCCTCCTCCTTTCCTCCTCCTCCTCCCTCCACTATTCCTCCTCCTCCTCCTCCTCCTCCTCCTCCTCCTCCTCCTCCTCCGCCTCCTCCTCCTCCTCCTCCTCCTCCCTCCTCATCCTCATCCCCATCCTCATCCTCCCTTCCTCCTCCTCCTCCTCCCCTCCCCTCCTCCTCTCCTCCCCCTCCTCATCACCCACCACCACACACCACCACGACCACCATCATCATCATTCATCATCATCATCATCATCATCATCATCATCATCATCATCATCATCATCATCATCATCATCATCATCATCATCATCATCATCATCATCAATCATCAGCATCATCATCATCAATCATCATATCATCATCATCATCATTCATCATCATCATCATCATCATCATCATCATCATCATCATCATAATCATCATCATCATCATCATCATTATCATCATCGTCATCATCATCCTCATCCTCATCCTCATCCTCATCCTCATCCTCGTCCTCGTCCTCATCCTCATCCTCATCATCATCATCATCATCATCATCATCATCGTCATCGTCATCGTCCTCATCATCATCATCATCATCATCATCACCATCATCGAGCAGCAGCAACAGCATCATCATCACCATCGCCGAGCAGCAGCAGCATCATCATCATCATCATCATCATGATCATGATCATGATCATGATCATCATCATCATCATCATCATCATCATCATCATAATCATCATCATCATCAGCAGCATCATCAGCATCATCATCACCATAATCATCATCATCACCATACTCAGCATCATCAGCATCATCCGCATCATCAGCACCATCAGCATCATCTTCTTCTTCATCATCATCATCATTCTCATCATCATCAGCAGCATCACCACCACCATCATCATCATCATCATCATCATCATCGTCGTCGATATCATCATCATCATCATCATCAGCATCATCATCATCGTCGTCAACATCATCAACAGCAGCAGCATCAGCATCAGCAGCATCATCAGCAGCAGCATCATCATCATCACATCATCACCATCACCATCAGCATCATCATCACCATTTGCACAGCCATCATCATCATCATCATCATCATCAGAATCATCATCATCATCGTCATCACCATCATCATCATCATCATCATCATCATCATCATCATCATCATCATCATCATCATCATCATCTCCACCACCACCACCATCACCAACACCATCACCATCACAATCACCGCCCGCATCGTCAACCTCATCCTCCCCCACCCGGTCGATCATGTTCCTCCTCCTCCTCTTCCTCCTCCTCCTCCTCCTCCTCCTTCTCATCATCCTCCTCCGTTTCCTTCTCCTCCTCTTCATCCTCCTCATCCTCCACCTCCTCCTCCTTCCCGAATTCCTCTTCCTCCTCCTCCTCCTCCTCTCCTCCTCCTCCTCATCATCATCATCATCATCATCATCATCATCATCATCATCATCATCATCATCATCATCCATCATCATCATCATCATCATCATCATCATCATCATCATCATCATCATCATCATCATCATCCATCATCATCATCATCATCATCATCATCATCATCATCATCATCATCATCAATCTCATCATCATCATCATCATCATCATCATCATTCATCCATCATCATCATCATCATCATCATCATCATCATCATCATCATCATCATCATCATCATCATCATCATCATCATCATCATCATCATCATCATCATCATCATCATCATCATCATCATCATCATCATCATCATCATCATCATCATCATCATCATCATCATCATCATCATCATCATCATCATCATCATCATCATCATCATCATCATCATCATCATCATCATCATCGTCCTCCTCATCCCCATCCTCCTCCTCCTCCTCCGCCTCCTCTCCTCCTCCTCCTCCTCCTCCTCCTCCCCCTCCTCCTCCTACTCCTCCTCCTTCTCCTCCTCAGCATCAACATCATCATCAAGATCATCATCATCAGAAGCAGCAGCATCCTCAGCATCAGCATCAGCATCAGCATCAGCATCATCATCATCATCAGCATCATCATCATCATAATCATCATCATCATCATCATCATCATCGTCATCATCATCATCAGCAGCAGCAGCATCATTATCAGCATCATCATCCTCATCATCATCCTCATCATCATCCTCATCATCATCATCATCATCATCATCATCATCATCATCGTCATCATCAGCAGCATCATCAGCATCAGCATCAGCACCAGCATCAGCATCGTCATCAGCATCGTCATCATCATCGCCATCATCATCATCATAATCACGATCATGATCATCATCATCGTCATCATGATCATCATCATCATCATCATCAGCATCATCATCCGGATCATCATCATCATCAGCACCATCATCGTCATCATCATCACCATTTTTTTTTTGAGCTCAACGCCCGCGCAGCCTCACCTGACAGCAGCGACGGCTGGGAAATCGCTGCTGCGTCCTCCATGCCACTGAGGCAAGGAGGTGAGCCACAAAGGTGGCAGGATAAAATTAGTCAGAAGAACCCGAGTCAGCATCCAAGTCCCTCCTTCCCTCACCGCCACTCCGAGCGGCTTCGAGACGGCGGAGGGACTGAGAGGAGACGCTGAGCTCTCGGGCCCGACGGGCCTGACGGACCTCCTCCACCGAGGGGGGGGGAGGCTCGACCGAGGAAGCAGGGACCTCCTCCTCCTCCACCAAGTGGTTCCCAGCTGGGGCCTCCATGGCCCTGCAGCACGAGGAAGGCTCCCCGGCCTGAGAACCAAACAGAGCACAGATCTGGTGAGCATTCACCGTCACATCCCGCTTCCTGGGGTTCGGATGCACTCCTCGACAGAGGTGCCTCCAAGAATACTCGGCATTCCTGGAGGGCCGATCATTACAAAACTTTCCGAGGCCGTCCACACGAGCACCTGTGCTGTGGTAGCGGCATTTCACGCAAACAAAAAGATGCGAACCGTCACTGCAGGAGAAGGCCAAAACACGATGACGCAGTGAAACCAGCACACCTTCATCAAGCTTGCACTTGCCCGAGCAAATACCAGGATCAGGGACGCCAGACTCCCTGGAACCCAGCAAACAAACACGACAGCGCCACACACCAGACCAAGGGGCCCAGTCGTGCCCAGGTTTGTCCCAGGAAAACCTGGGCTTGGGGGCAGGCGGAATATAATCGGCATCAGATAAGTCTAGACGGGGCCACTCTAAAAGAAGCTTGGCCCCTAGACGACACACTGCTTTAGCAATGTCAATCTTCTTGCTGAGATCTTCACTCTCATTAATATCCGTCGCATGAAACGAAAGCGCAGCTTTGGCCGCCGCGTCAGCATCATTATTGCATTTGCGACAAAACCTTTCAAACTGGTCTATGCCAGCTTCATCTAAATCTTTGTGAGCAGAAACCTTGACAATATCCTTAATGCACGTGCCTTCTCGAGCATTGGCTTCATCATCATCACCATCAGCATCATCATCATTAGCACCAGTATCATCATCATCATCATCAGCAGCAGCAGATTCAGCATTATCATCATTCTTATCAGTATCAGCATCGTCATCATCATCGTCATCATAAGAATCACCGTCATCATCATCATCATCATCATCATCATCATCATCATCAGCATCATCATCATCATCATCCTGAGAGGCAGCTGCAGCATCATGATCACCATCATCATCAGCAGCATCATCATCATCAGCATCAGCATCACAATAACCACCACCATCATTATCACCATCATCATCATCATCACCACCACCATCATCATCACAGTCACCATCACCATCACCATCACCATCACCTTAACCAGCATCAGCATCAGTCATCATCATCAGCATCATGATCACCACCACCGTCATCATCATCATCATCATCATCATCATCATCATCATCATCATCATCATCATCATCATCGTCATCATCATCATCATCATCACCACCACCGTCATCATCGTCATCGTCGTCATCGTCGTCATCGTGCTGTGCTAGCTCGGTCTTGTCAGAGCCCAAACGAGTCTGCATGGCGGCTATATAATCGTGGCGGGCGGGAGGGAGAGGTCACGGGGGGGTCTCGCTCTTCTTCGCGTCCGTCCAAGGCCGCGTCTGATGTTATGCGTAACCAGACTGGTCGCCGAACCGACCCGAACTGGCCGAATCGAACTGGGCCGAATCGAACCGTCGCGAACCGATGTTTTTCTCAACGCGAACCGAACGGAACCGGCCGTTTTTGACACTCGAACCGAACCGAACCGAAACTGCTTCGACTTTGACTCCGAACTGGGCCGAACCTTCCCCCCTCTGATTCCCCTGGGGCCCCCCAGGACCACCCCTACAACACCTCCGCAGGCCCCTATAGCAGCCCCCAGGGGCCGTCTAATGCACCTCTCAAGGCCCGTAGAATACATCCCCAGGGCCGTACAATACCTTCCTGGGGCTGGATGACACCCGGGCCCGTACAACACCTCCCTGGGGCCGTACAACACCTTCCCGGTGCTATACAACACCTTCCCGTGCCCGAATGACACTTCCGCGGGCCCTTATTTAAC